TAGACTGGTATATTTGAAGAGTTGGTTCCCAGTTGGTGAACTGTTTATGAAGGATTAAGAGGTGTAGTCTTCTTGGAGGAGTGTACCACTAGGGATGGGCTTTAAGGTTTAAAAAGCCCACTCCAGGCCCAGTCTCTCCATCTCTCTGCTTCCCACTTCTGGATCAAGTGTAAGCTCTGAGCTACTGGTCTAGCCCCATTCATGTCTGCTTGATGTCATGCTTCCTGCCATAATGGTCATGGACTTACCCTCTGAAACAGTTAGCAAGCATCCGATTAAATGCTTTTCTTCTATAAGTTGCTTTGGTTACACTGTCTTGTCTTCACAGCAAAAGAACAGTGACTAAGACAGACCTGTTCTTCTTAAGATGATGCTAATATAAGAACTGGCATTAGGAAAACCCATCTATCCTTTCTATTTCAATATTCCTGAAGTAGGGAACTTCGTCCTCTACATACCTGACCTTTCTAAGAACATCTGAGACTCATGAACATTTCATAACCCCCACTGGACTCTACTTCCCTGAAATTAGGAAGAGTTTATGTGTTTACATCTTGCACAGTGCTCAAACTGTCAATAAATCTGGGATAAATGACCAGCCAATGAGAGGAGGATAATTTTGTTGATTCACAGTTATTATGTAGATATTTTCCTTACATTTATTTCATTCAGGTGCTATAGGATCTCTGTCTTCTATAGTAGCCATCCAGCAAGCAATAACAAATCAGCTAATGCACTGTATTGAGCCAAGTTGGCAATTTGTTAAGGACTCTGGTATGTTAGTTAAAAGATGTACCAAACCTGATAGTAGAGAATTCCAGGAGACTGCTATGCCTTTGTAATAGAATTTGCTATAACAGGATGTATTGACTTCTGTGTGGAACTGATCCATGTCCATATAAACAGCATTACTGGGGTAGGTGGGGTTTTAATGCAAGCATGACAAGAAAGCTGACGAGAGTACACTTAAATAATGTGTAAATTATTTAACTATCCTCTATTTTAACATCTTCCTCTATAAATTGTGAAAAGAATGTCTATCTACATAAGGCAAGCCTATAATATAATAAACATGCTAAGAGGGCTTATTATGAATATTAAATGAGTATGTGAAAAGGTACCTAGTGCAGGCCATAAATGATGTTTAATCTTCTCTGTCTCTGGCCTATGTGTCCTACACAAACAAAGGACAAAACACGAATCTGGACAATTGACCCAAAGTATGAAGTCTGTAAGATATCACAAGATGTACTTTTTGATATGTGTTATGAACATGTTATAAGAACTAAGCTGGTATGAAATAATAGGGTGCATATGTAGAATAATTGAAAAGGATTAACACCACAAGTTCCTATTTACTAAAAAATGCTTAAAAGTTGAACTTGGGCAGCCACTCTAACTATCACTCTGGATAAAATAAAGCAAATGCCTCTTAAGCCAGCTTGATACGGAGAAGAATTCTGTTGGAGTCACCATCTGTGATGGACAACGAGGATTGTGGTGCTCGGGAGCTCAGATAATGAGTGTCTACTAAGAAGTTTGCAACTGTAGTTATACATTACAATCAATCAGAAACTGTCAAACTGCATGGTGTTGCTTTCCTCTCTTTACTGATGCCATTTTAGTATGACTGAAAAAAAAGCAAGAAAACAGGATATATACGACTTAAACTTTTTAGACAGTCATGTGGCAATAGTACCAAAGTTCAGGTGAACAACCTAACATTTGAGAAATGGAGAAAAAAATCCACTGGGGAAATAGAATCAAACCATATAACCATCTAGGGTAGTAAAGCTATTGTTTTAGATGCATTAAATTAAACCACACAAAATTGTCACAGTCAGATAATTTTTAAATTAAAGAAATGATAATTTGTGTTTTTAAATCTAACACCAATTAGGCTTTATTCAGAGATTAGTATGTTTTGAAACATGATGGATTTAATTGAAACATTACATCACTTATCTATTTAAATGGTGGAAAACCATTTTTCTATTAGGTTTATATTAGAAATAAAAAGATATGTAAAAGAGAAGGGCAATAGAATCCACGCCTTGGAAGGGAGGAGACCACCACTGAACTCCGTCTTATAGGAGTATGAATGAGAAAGGCACATAGAGTCTCACGGAGAGGTTGCATTCCCCAGAGAAGCAGGGGAGCTATTAGGTGTGATGCTAATAGAGACAGAAATCTTAAGGAAGCAATTCAGCCAAAGCGATGCGGGGGTAACCAGGCTTTATGGGAGGGAAGCAGAGACAGGAGAGGGAATAAGAACTAAAATATACTTTTCATTATTTACCACAAGATTTATGGAGCCCCAAAAGATAGTGGCAATGTGGAAAGTGAGTTAAAATCTCATTCAAAGCCCACATACAGATTATCTTCTCTTCTTATTTGTTCTTTCTGAGGACGTATTTATAATCAGAAAAAGATATATGAATGACAGCAGAAATGTAAAGTAGGATAGTAATCCCATAGTTAACCTTATTGTGAAGGTTGGCCTTGGGCTAAGTTTGGGAGGAAACTGTGATGGAAACAAAGAATGTCTGATGAAAAAGAATCACACCTGCATCTAAAAGGTTTGTTTGACTTTGTGGATTCAGAAAGGGGTTCTTGGTAGTTCCTGACAACTATGAGCAGTACTAGTATTAGGTAGCAGACATTCTGCTATATGTCCCTATGTTCACTCTGGTCTAATTCACCATTGGAAGTTGGTAATACCATAGATGATTCTGTGCCCATTAAATGTAGATCTTTCTTTTCTAGTATTCAAGTACAGCAAAGACTTTGTAAAATCATTAAGAAATACAAACATAAGTATGAATTATTATACAGGCTCTTATTTTGTACTCTGAGATTAATGTTTGGGGTGGAAAAATCTAGAGGAGTGTGAAGGAGACAGTGAAATTTCAAATGCATTTTGAAATAAGGATTTTGTTTGTTTGTTTTTTTCAGGGCAGCATTTATCTATGTCGCCCTGGCTGCCCTAGAATCTGATTTGTAGACTAGGCTGGCCTTGAACTCAGAGATCCATTCACCTGCCCCTGCTTCTATATGCTGGGATTAAAGATGTGAGCTACCACCTCTAGAAAAATATGAATTTTTAAAAGAAGGTAAGGCATATAATTTAGGATTAACTTTTAAGACATATAAAAAGACAAGACAAATGGGTTTGATCTAGAAACTAAGAGACAAAAATTAGTCCAGATATTAGTAAGGAATTTCTTTTCATTGTTTAGAGTTACTTTATTTTTTAAGATTCTAATATAATTACAACATTTCACCCTTATCTTTCCTCCCTCCAAACCCACCCATATACATTCCATGCTCATCTTCAAATTCACTAAGTTTTTTTTTACTAATTATTATTCCATATATATATGTGTATATATATATATATATATATATATATATATATATATTCCTAAATATAACCTGTTAGATTTGTATAATGTTACTTCTATGTATGTTTTCGGGGGGGGTGCTGACCATTTAGCACTAGACAATTTTTGCAAAGGAAAAGAACTCAGTAAAAGAAAATTATAATCTTGGTACCTAGATTTTGAAAGAGTAGATTTAACTTAATGTCAGTGGGAAGAAGAGTTGTGCATCAGTGACTGGAAAGAATGGTCAAGAATCTTGTGTGAAGAGGAGATACTTGAATGGGTTCAGTTTCTTTTTTGTCAATGTCAACTAGCTGCATCCACTTTGAAGTTTTTGAGAGAGAAGATTCCCAGTCCATAGATGAGTTCAGAGGGATCAAGGTACGGCATCAATTATGCAGTCAGGAGGCAGGAGGAACATTGAGGACCTTTCCGATGTCTTCATAAAAGTGAATACAGAGACCAGTGAGTTACTTCAAGGAAGCAGAGTGTAAGGTCTTTATGATAACAGCATATGATAATGATATCTTTATGGTAATAAATTATCTTTATGATAATCAGCATTGTCCAGAGCTTGATGCCAAAAGAATTCCACTAGGTCACAGATAGGGATTTGGAAAAAAATTAGGGGCATCCAGTTTCAAGAAACCAGGGTAGGAAAGGGGGCTGTTGGAGACTGTGGTCAAAACTGTGCTGTTTCACAAACCAATAAGGAGAACAGAGAGAGTTCCAGCCCCCAGACAAGGCATTGACTAAGTGAACCACTTGGGGAAGATTCAGTGAGTGATGAGGTGAATCATAGTGAGTGAGAAATTATGGTCGATTGTTATGTATCACACAATTAAAGATTTATTAAATCACCTCTCAGCCTTCACTTTCTGGAATAATTAATCACTACAAATTATTAAAATCAGATCATTAGTTTGAATAATGAAAATCTCAGGAGAAAAAAGTTCGCTAAGGTTCATTTTTTTTAATTAAAAAGAAGTTTTTTCTAGCCTTGTCACATTAAAATTATTGTTTAGAGCTCATGTGAGTATAATATTAAATGGAGATTTTATTTTGACTTCTAAAAATTAACTTGAATTCACATTAAGTATCCCAAATGGTATTGTAAAACATTTTTACAACAGATTCATTATTAGAGAAATTCAGATATGTGTTCGTATAGTCTTTAACTAGTGTGTAAGTATAGGTACTAGCTCTACCACCATAGCTGAGATGTACTCACATCTGCCACCTGTCTGACGGGCAAGGGTGTTTGTCAAAACAAACAAAACCTGCCGGGCGGTGGTGGCGCACGCCTTTAATCCCAGCACTCGGGAGGCAGAGCCAGGTGGATCTCTGTGAGTTCGAGGCCAGCCTGGGCTACCAAGTGAGCTCCAGGAAAGGCGCAAAGCTACGCAGAGAAACCCTTTCTCGAAAAACAAAAAAAAAAAAAAAAAAAAAGGAGCAAAAGGCATTCTGAAAAAGAAGCCCTCATTTCCTCCACAACCCACAGTGCTGTTGAGGTGTTTGTTGGGATATTCTCATTAAGGTAGACCTAGGACTGGTGTGCACTCTGACTCGTTGGTCCCAAAGACATTCTAACTCCTTTCATGTTCTATGGGTTTAGAACCCCAGCTAGGACAGTTGAGGGATTGGGGCACTGGCAGTTGGAAGCATGACAGAGGTCAAGCCCAGGGAACTCAAAGACAAGTACATGTACATGGTATGTGAAGGAAGTTAAGGTAGTCTGGGAGTGGGGCGGAGACTTGGTTTCAGTCAAAGCAAAAGTCTGCTTTTATTTAAACCTTAATAAAACAGCAAAAAAGAAGAGATTTACTGATAAAAGGATAAACCAAACAACTTTTTCTCTCAAAAGTTTACTGTTATCTTTAAAGTAAGATTATTGACTTTTAATATTGATAGTAAATGTTAAATAACCTAATAATAGCCAGAGTATACCTGATTTATTTTTACTTTACAGGCCAGTTAAATTTATTTTAAATGTTAGATAAATTACTTGCCATAGAAACACCATTAAAAAAGCCTCAAGTATAATCTGTAATCACCATTACAGGAAGGGGCTTTTATTAAAGCATGACAGCTGTTTCTCGGTAAACTCAGAAACGATCACTGGACTTCAGTCTTGCTTCCAGATTCACTTCTGTTTCAAAAACAGTGTTTGTAGCACTGAGTAGGAATATTGCTATTCATTAACACCTGACAAACGGTTAACTCCTGGTTTTGTTTGTTCGTTTGTCTGTTTTGTTGCTGTTGCTGTTTTTTCAGAAATAATAAAACAAGAGTTCATCACCAGGAAGACTTATAGTCATCTAGAAGAAAAAATAAGATTCATCATGTCTTTAAATGTCCATAATCGGAGGACCAGCAAAAAGCATTTTCAGGTCGATCCTCTTCTGATGCCCAAAGTTCCTCGAACCAATTACTTGCACCTTCAGGAAGAGAAACACAGACTACAGCTAAAGAAATTCCTCCTTCACAGGATGTTTCTTGTGGGCTACGTACAAGCCAACTTAGAGAAAAAAGAGATTACTGAATATTATGAGAAATTGTTCCAGTCAATTCTGAAGAATCACTTAGGAGAAGCAGTTACAGGATTATTGCTCGTATACTCAAGAACTTTTATGCACATCCTTGAGACCTCCAACGGCACACTTTTCCGAATTCTTCTAGATTATGTTGCCCATGAGAAGGAAGACAAAGAATATATGATACAAAATGTGAAAATTATAGTTGCTTCTCATAACATCCCCACGAGGCTGTTCATGCAGTGGCATGTTTCTGTCATCAAAGTCCCCGTTTTGTATCTAGAGGATGTGACACAATCACAGTCTCTAGCAGAGGTCACCACAGATTTTCTTTCCATGACTCACAAACTGGCACTCCACCTTTTCAAGACCGTGAAAGTGGGCACGAAAGGACCAGGTGACAACTTGCACCAAGTTGCCCCTGACCTCCTCCTCCCAGAACAAACTATTGAGTACTTATGCAAAGCTGAAGAATTCATGGATCCAGCAACATTCTTAAACATGTATAACAGACCCATACACATTACCCTGGATTCTGAGATTGTGTGGCCAGCTCCTTCCCGTTTTTAGGATGAGGAGAGATAGTGTGTGTATATCTCATTAAGATTTTTGTACAACTTTAAAAACAAATATTTAAAGTTACTCTTTCAAAAGAAAAGGAGCATAACATTTAAATAAGCACACAGAATGTTAAAACATCTAAAGCTAAACATCAGAATATATTTGCTTACTCTGATCCAAAGTTGAATAATTTTTTTCAGGTAATTGGGTTTAATAAATTTGAGTTTCATCATTTTCATGGGATAACTTTTTTTTTCTTTTAAGAAAAGTATAATTGAAAGGGATTTAACACCATTTAGGCATTTAGGTTCTCATGCATTCTCTCAACAATTAGCAAAAGGTCTTTATCATGTGGTAGAAGAAAGATGTTCTTCTTAAGAAACTTGTAACTTAAAGTGACAAGCAACCATAATATATATAAGTAATATATAATAAGATATGCTATAATGCAAATAGAATAGTAGGAAGAGGTAGAACGAACTTGGAGAACATAAGTGAATAAATCATTAATGCACAATCTACGCATCAGAGAAAATAAAACATAACCTCTGAAAATAATCCTAAAGTACCCATATCCTGGCCTATATAATCAGTAATACTGAAGCTATTATATATCTGAAAGACACAAGAATTTTTGAAACAACTAGAAAACACTATCAAATTTCAATATAATCTTATGCAACATTGATTAATTGAGCACTCCTCTGTATGACAGACATTTTTCAGTTTCCAGAGATGCAGCAATGTTCACACAAGGCTCTTGCCCACTTAAAAAACTTATTGATTACATATAAGCAATATTATAGGATGTGAATAATCCTCGTTGTTGTGTCAGATGGCATCTTATTGACAGGATGAATATATTTGAAAAAAAAAAGTATTTTCTAAAGTTAGATAGTGACCGTAAGTGCAGTGTATGGTTAAAAATTAAACATCAAATTAATTTTAAACATTTAAATTAAACATAAAATTGTAACACATAATATTACACAAAAATGTCTAATACTTACATCCAATCTAACATGCTCCTCTTACAGTGTGACCTTCAGATTCCTCCTATTTTATATGACAGGCATTATGTTTAAAATCAGACAGCCTTTGTGTCTTCTTTAACCAATAGAGTACGACAGGAACAATGCTGTGCAACCTCCAAGGCTAAGTCAAGATTCCAAGAGTCTTGCTTTGCTCACTTGAACCTGAGCTCTCAGAATCCAGGCACTATGCTATGAATACTTAAAGCAGCTTCCAGATGACATCTTCAGCAAGGGCCCAGATGACAGCCACAATCAAGTACCAGATGCTGAGTAAGACTTGATGGTTCCTGATTATCTGTTTCCATAACTGCAAGAAAGACCGGTTGACACTGTATGGAATAGAGATGGACTCTTCCTAGGAATCCTGCCCAAATTACAGACGTGAGATGATTGTGCAGTTGTCTGGAACTGTAACATATATGTATGTAAATGATTTTCATCAGTTACCAGTCATTCATTTATGTACATTACTAAATGTCTACAAGTAAGCACTTACTAGGCACCCAATCATTATTGTTGGATGGATACCTCAACAGTGATAAAATGTGTCTCCACCATATTGCCTACCCTATGTCATTTATCAGTCTCTATCATTTCCTTATATAAGAAATACTGATAGAAAACAAATTCATTAGACTAATGAAAATCATTAGTAATCTTAATTTCTAGAGAAAGTTATAGACATATCTAAATGATAATATTGCTCATTTACTTAACATACTGTAAATTTTAAGATTCATGAAATCAGAATATATTGTATGCAAATAAAATCTGTTTTCAATAAAAGAAAAAACACAAATACATAACTCAATTATACATTCATTATAGTAAGTAGACTATAATGAATTTATTCAAATGAAATTCACTCGTTATAGTAGTCACTTTAGGAGAATTTATTATCATCACCCCAACAACAACGTCATTACTAAAACGTTTTGTAACTCTTATATCAGATAAAGTTTAAAACCAAGGTAAATATAAATATTTTAGGTATATCTAATTTTTGATCGTCAAAGAAAATATACTCAATTGGTTCCATTCAGAAAGCCCTTTACACACCTATAATTTCAAGTGTGTTTCATAATATCTCTTCAATAAGATTCAGAGTATCAGGTTTTATGTTTAGGTCCTTAACCCATTTGGAGCTCAGTTTTATGCATGGTGAGAGATAAGCATCTGGTTTCATTCTTCTATTATGTGACTATCCAGCTTGACAAGCAATATTTGTTGAAGATCCTGCCCTTTATCTAATGTGTATTTTAGAACTAATTGTCAAAAATCAAGTGTATGTAGGAGTGTGGGCTTATATCTGGGTTCTGAATTCTATTCCATTTATCAATATCTTTGTTTATTTTCATTGCTTTATAGTATAATTGAAATCAAGAGGGGTGGTACCTCTGGCAATGATGAATTGTTAGGAATTTCTTTGAATATCTTGGGTCTTTCTGTTTTCATATTAAATTTGAGATTTTTTCCATTTCTATGAAGAATTGCATTGGAAGTTAAGTGGATATTGCATTGGATATATTCATTGCTTTAGATAGGATGGCCATTTCACAGTATTAATCCTACCAATCTGTGAACATTAGGAGATCCTTCCACCTTCTGATACCATCTTCAAGTTCTTCCGTGCCTAAAATTTTCATTGTATGAATCTTTTACTTGCCTGGTTTTTGGGTTTTGTTTTTTTTTTAATGCAATTGTGAATGATACTGTTTCACTGACTTCATCAGTTAATGACTTTTGTGTGATAATTTTATAAACCGCTACTTACTGAATGTGGTTATCAGGTCGAGGAGTCTTCTGTTAGAGTCTTTACAGACTTTAATGTATAGAATCATATCCATAAACAAGGAAACTTAGATTTCCTCTTTTCTTAGTTATCTTCCCGTTATCTCCTCTTGTTTTACTACTCTGATATTGCAAGGACTTCATTACAGAGAAAAGGAGAGAGTGGACATCTTTATCATGTTCCTGATTCTAGAGCAAATGATTTTCTCGATTTAGTGTCATGTTCGCTGTGGGTTTGTTCTATGTTACACTGATTGTGTTGAGATAATATTCAGATTAGGGTATTTAGTATCATTCTCTAATTAACAAAGCCAGGGATCTGTGGAAGAATTGTGGATTCTTGAGAAGCTTTAAGAAAACTGAATGAAGGTCCTGGTAAGTATAGGTCTGTCTTTCTTTTTGTCTGCCTGTCTGTCTCTCTGTTTTGTGTGGTTGTTTTTGTTTTCTATCTCTTTTTGAAAGTAGATTCTTTTCTCATACAATATATCCTGACTACAGTTTCCCCTCCCTTTAACCCCAAGCTCCATCCCACTTCCCATTTTATCCTGATCAACTCCCTTTCTGCCTCACATTTAAAAAGAACAGGATTCTGTTGGTGTTTTGATGGGAATTGCATTGAATCTGTAGATTGCTTTTGGTAAAACTGCCATTTTTACTATGTTGGTCCTGCCTATCCATGAGCATGGGAGATCTTTCCATTTTCTGACATCTTCATTTGATGACAAGAGATGGTCAGTTGGGATTGTGTCCACCTAATTATTTGGAAACTTCATTAGGATCACCTTTTTATATTTCAGCAAGTTTCTACTGCACTAGGTTTCCATGCCTACCCTGGAATTATTTTATCCCTATGACTTCTTGCATGTGTTTATACGTCTCTTCAAACTGAAGTAGTTATTCCAGTATCTTCTGTAGAGCTGAATTAGGAGTCATAAATTCCCTTAAACTGTTTTTATCACTTGAATATTTTATTTCTCCTTCAGTTTTAGCAGATATTCTATAGAGTACACTATTCTGGGTTGACAATAATTGTCTCAGTTCTCTGTGTTACTTTGTTTCTGAACTGGGACCTGAATATCTGAAGGCCTTTGTCAGTAAAATCTTTCTTACTTTTGCTTAAATAACCTTTCTTTTTCTGGTGTAGGTGTGAGCAATGCTCAGCAGAGTATGAAGCTGCAAGAGGATTTAGATATTGTTTTCTTTTGTTGGATTTGTATTGAATGCTAAAGATTCTACTGCATGACTGAACAGACATTATTCAAGAGTCAGCATGTACTTTGCTGGCCCTCTCCTCTGCTGTCTTCTGGTGTGGCTCACCTAGTCCAGTTGCGGTGCTTTGAGTAGGCTTTGGTCGACCAGCAGCGGTAGGTAGATTTTGTTAAACTAGATGTATACTTAGGCCTTGTATATCAATTCATGGAAAGCAGAGCCTACCTGAGAAAGCTGAAAAGTGAGATTTTGGGGTAACAGAAACCTTATAGGATGGATGGGATTTGGCTTATTTGGTGTGAGGGGTGGATGGCAGATTCCAGAGGATCCAGGCATTCTGACCACACTTGGTAATGTGATCCCACAGGAGTTGTGACATTTATATGGTGTGGCAGAAAAATGCTTACCCGGTGTCTCAGAGAAAGGTGATTATGAGGGAAGTGAACTGCATGCTACAAAAGAACAGAGCCTAGCTGATATGTCAGGAAGAGAGGTCCCAGAAGAGCCTAGCCTAGTGGACTATGGTGGCCTAATGACATAGGGAAGTCTTGGAAGATCTTGGCAGGTTTATGGGTTGATTCAGAGGGAACCCAGCTGGCTGCAAGGGGAAGGGAAGTCCCTAAGGAGCTAAGCAGGCCTATAGAAGACAAAGGAACAGATCTACCTAGTGACGTGAGGATGGGTGGTCTCTCAAGTCCCAAAGAGATTTCAATAAGTTTAGCAATATATATGCATTTCAAATAAGGTAAACAGCTCTAGCAGGTGAAAACCCCCTCCAGCTTCCTGGAGAAGTGAAAATATGTCAGCCTATTGCCAAATTCACATAGCAAAATACTTCCAGATTACTACATATTACATTAATTGACTTAATGTAGAATTAGAGTTCTTCCTCTTGGGGTCAGTTATTAAATTTCCAGATAACTGGAAGATATCTGGAAAGATTTACATGATAAATATAATATATAGATTTTTAAGAAAACAGAGACAAAAAGACCAAAAGTATCTTTCAAATACTTTAAGACATTGTCCTGGAAATAAGGATTCAGAAACTTAAAGACACTAAATTGTTTTTCTTGAAGCAAGGGCAAGTATTGATAAAAGATAGTCTCATTTCATTTCAAAATATTAAGTATACAAATCTTTATTCTTTTACAAATCTTTAAGAAAATTATTTTTCATCTCAATTTTCTTGTTTTAGAATTGTTAATTGTGTTGTGATTTAATGTCAAAGTAAGTTTTATATTAGTTTGATTGATAACTTACTACAAAAAATAATCCTAATTCTGTTCTTTAATTTTAATACAATTTCAGTATTTATTATTTAGCTATTTGTCTCATTATTAATTTATAATAATGGCTAACCTGTTGGCCAATTAATATATTCTTGCTAGTATGTTCCTATATAGATACAAATTCAGGAGAGATATGTCTTATAACTTAGATCAACTGCATTTGATTTAACCGAATGAGAATATCACCTGAATTTTTCAGTTAAAAAGCTTAAATTTTATCCACAAAATGATTATGAAGTAATTAATAGCATTTTTGATTCTTTCTTTTCTGCCTCTGCTCACTATAGCTATATTCTTTTCCAATCCAATCTCGGCTGTGACCTCAACTCCCATATAAGAGCTAATGACTCCAAATGTGCGTTGATGTCTTTGTTCACTTACTATGTACTCATTGCATAAACTATAGTTTTCATTGCTGTTAGGACCTGGACTTTATGGTCTTTATGGTATGTGTGTGTGTGCGTGTGCATGTGCGTGTGCATGTGCGTGTGCGTGCGTGTGTGTGTGTGTGTGTGTGTGTGTGTGTGTGTGTGTGTATGCATGAGAATCATAGTTCTAATGACTATGTCTTCTAGAAGTAGAAATTAAAACTATTTCTTGCCCCACCTTGGATTAACTTTCAGAATCTCTGGATGGGTATTGCACAGTCCAGTTCCTTCCATATGGTTCTTTCTAGAATTCAAAGCCTCCTCTGGCAATAGGAGCTAAATTGATTTTTTTTATACATTATCATTTCTTGCACGAGATAGAAAGTAACTTTTCCAGGAGATAAGGAAGAGAAAGAACAGGAGATTAGCAGCCTTGCTATGTATATTAAGATTGGCTAATAAAGAATACTAGAAATGAGAGCAGAAAGTGGAAAAGCTCTTGGCTAAGAATAAGTGCTGTCCCTTTGAAGAATAGAAGATCAGAGTGTCTGGAGTACTGAGACAAGACAAACATGGATGGAGAATGTGGCTAGAACTAAAGGATGTGAGGATTTACCATCATGGTCGGGGTTGAACTCTCTTTCACCCATTACTATAACAGACCTCTCCTGTGCTCCATTCTTTGTGTAGGGCCTTCCCGATGTACTATATTTAAAGGCCACGTGCATCTCCCCCAGGACCCCAGTGAAACCCATCACTCTTTACCACCACGGTCCCTTCAGTCTGCCACTCGCCTCCAATTCCACCACTGTCCCTTCAGTCTGCCACTCGACTCCACTTCCACCACTGTCCCTTCAGTCTGCCACTCGACTCCACTTCTGCTCATTCTTGGTATGAAA